TGGGAGAACCATGGTTAAAGGTCAATCCCATGCAGCCCAGTCCCTGTTTTGATACCTCAAAACCTTGTGAACCCAGTTTTATTCTAGGCACTGTGATTGCCATTTCCTTTCTTCGTTCAAGCTTCTTCAACTCTGTGTGTGTGTGCTGAGAATCTTGAGATAAGGCAAGAGTGGATTGATTCGCATTTGGAATGGTGAAGTGGTCTTTATAGAGGAACACAGCTTTTAATTTTATATTTGTTAATTTCTCTACTTTGTTTGACTTTTTACTTCCCACAGCCGTTCCCTATAAGCAAGCAATAAGCTAAAATACTCTTGAGCAATGTTCCCCACCGAAAAAGTATATTTAAAAAGTGCACTTCATAATCACGAGTATTAATTTTAAGTTGGTATTTTAAATTCAAATAATGTTTTCAAATCATTAAAAACGTAACTCTCAATATTTATTGAGACTCATCATTTCTTTAATAATAGTGATTTATTAAATCAAAATTTTAAGTTAAATTTTTAAATAAAATGTAACTTGTGTCACGTTTCCTTTTCCCAAAAAATGCCATTTTTTTCTCACCAAACCAAAAAAAAGAAAAATTAAAAATTAAAAATATTGGATAATTGCATTTTATACGGTCAAATATTTTTGAAAATTTCTATAGTTTTGAGTTGTTACATGGATTTGTAATGGTTTTGGCAATGGTTCACGTAAATTCATTGATTCGAATAAAGTTTTATTTTTTTGATTGATGGTATTTTTATTGATATTATTGTCAATTAATTATTACTGTTATTAACTCAATAAATTTTTTTTAACTTAATGAATTTTTTAATTTTTTTTTAACTTGATGAATAAACTTGATTTTTTTGGTAATGAGGAATCTTGATGATATTCTAGATTAACGATGATGGCATTTGGAGGGGATCATGATATCATTCATGTTGTTGGTAGTGTCAAACACTATAATTGATTGAGGGTATTTTTTGAACTAGATCATGCACACGTGTTTTGCACGTGAATCATTTTAAATTATAATTTTTGTAATTGTTTGAAATAATGATATAAATATAACAGCCTATAAATACTTATGAATCAAATAATGTAAAAAACTTGCTACAATTTGTACGATTTATACTGGAATGTTTTCTTAAAGAATATTAGTTTTTATTTCTTTTTCGATTAACTCCTACAGTTTTGTGTAATTATTTTCTTATAAAACTATCTCTTAATATTTATAAATTTTGACATGAAACTAATAATTTGCATGAATTATATTTGCAATATCATTGTAATGATACACATATATTTCATGATATGATGTTATATATATAACAACTAAACAAAATCACGAACACTTATTGAATTGAAAAAAAAAAAAAAAAAATTGGGGTTTGAGTTCTAGTGTCCATATAATCATACACTAAAAAAAAGTTAAGTTGTGGAAATGAAAAAAGTAATTAAGTTAGTTGCAATAAACATACCAATTTAATCATGAACATTCGTAGTAGTCATCATCCAACAAACATTGTAGTAATCATCATCCAACAAAAATAAAAAAAAATAAAAAGAAAGTAAAAACAACCTTACTCTAGTGTTACGAATAAGAGAATGCATTGATACTAAAATGGTAAAATAGAAAAGGATGAAAAGTTGGGGTTTGATAGTATTATTGAGGATACGTCAAAATAAATTCTATAATAAATAAAGCTCAACG